ACTAGTTTCTCCTGCGAAGTTGCCATTGTTCAATCCAAATACAAAAGTATACCCTCCAAATTCAGTCTCCATGATTTGTTTCTTACCGCCATGCTGGACCTTTTTGATGTCAGATTTCCATCCGATTATTTCCCACGCTTGCATTCTCCTCTAACTGTGCTCCACCTACCTACTATCTAAGCCTGAATGAACCAAATCAAATGGCCTTCTCCATTATCCTCTAAGTTTCAGTCATGTATTGCATTCCCCTTTCTATCACTGGATGGGCTTCTATCTCGGCACTGGCAAAACCATATATACAATAAATGATTCTGAAATGGTCTTAACGTGAAGAATGAAGGGAAGTGGTAGGCAGATAAGTTAAATGGAAAATAAGACTAATGGCTTGATAGTGACAACAGAGTAAAATCCATTAGAATCTGCAGAAAGTCCATAGGATGGAAAGAAATCATGAGATAGGTGTGCTGATGCATCGCTGACAACCATGATTTCTAAAATAAAATGTAAGGGTAGAGGAACCTTATAGTTTGATCTCTTTAGTAAACCCCAAGTCAAGGCTGAGAGGAGATGATGCAGAGTAACCTGGAAGAAAGAACCAAATTAGCCTTTGTAAGTGCGAAGCCAATGATAATGCTTAATGCAGTCTTTCTTAGGACAAAATTCAAAAGAATAAATGTTACCAGAAACTGGATATTTCATTTGTAGATTGTATAGCAGCTGTCAATTCCAATATGGAAAGGTAGAGGACTGGGAGCCATGAAAAGCAGCTACTTTGTATTTATGGATGGCTTAGGAGTCTGAACAATTCAGATCTAATTACATTTTCATCATGAACTCACTTTATCAGAAACTTGTAACCTGAAATATGCCTGGTTTAATGGATTTATCATGGTGAACCAGAGAGTCGTTTTCAGCTGAGAGTCATTTTCAGCTGGACTAGCAAATCACTGATGTGAGCTTCAGGGGTACAAGTGAATTTTATATCCTTTATTATCCAAAGAAGAAAAGAGATTTATGGCCAACAATTTAAAGAAGAAATTTGCTAAAGAGAGGAGCTGCAGCTTTTCTCTTTGAACAGTGATGACTGGGTAACTTGGTAACACCTCAAAGTCAAAAACAGAGAAGGAAAACTACTAACTGAAGACCCAATCAGGAATCAAGATGGTCAAGATAATGTAGTTTGGCTATAGTCAGACAGATGGAGGTCAAGAGGGAAAAGGGTAGAAACTGAAAGGAGAGGCCCAGGGAAACATGTGCTTCATAGACTTCTAATACAAATAAGCATTTCTCAGTCCCAAACCCTCTGTGGTCCCTAACAGTCAGGGCACCTACCCTGAAATCTTTAACACTAATGGTAGGGACATTCACAATTGTAGAATTACGGATCTTATTGATGATCCATGTTAGCCACTTAAATATCAATTGTTAAAGGTACAAACATACTTAAATCAAGAATAAATGATATTCCAAATACAGATGATATCTCGTGTAAAAATGTTTAGAGCCTATTTATTTATTTTAAACACAATTAGAATATGGTACAACCTTTACTTAATAGCTCTTCTCAATCATTCATAGTTTTTATATAAAATTATCATATTCCTTTTTCATTTAATAACCACAAAATATTTAAGAAAGCCTCAAGATCTGAAGAGAAATGAAACTTCCTTCATTGTCTGTTCTTACAAACACCTATCTGCAACACTAAGACAGCAGTATACCCCAAACTCTTTCCACTTTATACATATATGAGAATTTCTAGCTCAGGATTATTGTTCTTCTAGAATATTTAATATTGCAGAGAGAATGTTATTAACACAATTACTCAAGCCAAACCCATTCTCAATTCAGTGACAATAAACTAGGACACTGGGGGAAAAAAAAAGTTTAAAAACTTGCTTTAAAAAGCAAGTCATGGAAAAATTCCATTAGATTAAAAAAATAATCTTTACATAACCTAAATTTTTTTAGTGTTGCAATCCATGTGTATACATGCTGACTATAATCACTTTCTAGAATCTTAATTTATTTCATCATTTGGTTAAACACTGTTTGATGCTGATAGCATTCAAGAAAAATGATTTTCTGGTTTTTTATCAAATAATGGATTGTAGTATGTGATTAAAATATGCATAATCAAAGAAGAGATGATTGGAGAGGAAAAGGTTCTGAACATGCTTTCATTATTTATCATCATCATCTATAAATTAATATATATCTTTCTTATGCTTTGTTCTTTGTTTGAAATTGACTAATACATCTACTGTGAAGGGAACATCTTGGTTTTTTTGCTGGCTAAATATTGAATTCATGATTGATAAGAATCCTTTATTTTCAGATCTATAATGCCCAGTTTAAAGTTTTACACACATAACAAAATATGATATTCCTTTTTTTTTTTAAGATTGTATTTATTTATTTGACAGAGGGTGCACAAGCAGGGGGAGCGGCAGGCAGAGGGAGAGGGAGAAGCAAGATCCCTGCTGAGCAGGGAACCCAATGCTGGGCTCCATCCCAAGACCCTGGGATCATGACCTGAGCTGAAGGCAGATGTTTAACCAACTGAGCCACCCAGGCACCGCAAAACTTGATATTCTTAATCTTTATAAATTTATGTTCTTTTATCAGAATGATATAAGAGTATATGTATTTATGATTAAGAATCAAAAGGGAATGTGCAGGGACACATGGGTGGCTCAGATAGTAAAGCAACCAACTCTTGATTTTGGCTCAGGTCATGATCTCAGGGTCATGAGACCAAGCCCCGTGTTGGGTTCTGCACTGAGCATAGAGTCTGCTTAAGATTCTCTCCTCCCTCGGTCCCTTCACCCCCCACCCCTACCTTCCTTCCCCACCCGCATTGTGTGCCCAGCACACTCTCTCAAAAAAAAAAAAAAAAAGTAAATAAATAAATAAATAGAAATTACAAAATTAGAAATAATACATGTGTCTGAATGGTGAAATTAGTGAGAGGCCTTCCCTCTCTTTTGTCAAATCATTTTAAAAGTTGTTGGAATGCTGATTTTATATGAAAAATAAACTCTATTTGTAATGTTACTAAAAAATCTAAAAATGTTCACTCCTTGAACATTTATGTGTATGTAATGTTATGTAAATGTGTAATACAGTTGCCTTAAAACTATAAGTAATTATTGTATATTAAAGGAAAATGATGAGCTGTTTTATATAACTAAAATAAAATGTGTAGGCTGTGTGTATGAGACAGCATGTAGAATTAAGTTGTATATGTATAATTTAACTATATGTAACAACATATCAGAGTTCTAGCACCTTCTATATAACAGATCCCCAAACTCTGAAATAAAAACTGACTTGGCGCCAAATCTTGCTCCAAACTCCTATGCAAGCCAAAGGTTTAACTCTATTACTTCACAGTCTATTAACTCTTATTATACTCTATAAACTTTCTTATCTAATTTTCCAGTCCATGGCAGATTAAAAGTAGAAGACAGAAGGATCTGGGGAAGGAATATGAGGTGGGTGTGGGGGGAATGGTGAAAATACAAGAAAAGCCATAGCTGACAGTTTGACAGACAGGTAAAAATATAAATGGGCTGTGTGTATTAAATCATCACCATAAAAGATAGCAAACAACAATAATATCTAATATTTACTACACATTTCTTTTATACTGTATACTTTTATACTATATACAAGTGAGTAAGGATTTGCATGGATTATTTTATTCTGGTTCTCAAACCTTTAAGATATTACTACCCTTTTTTTATATGAGGCTTGGAGAAGGTAAACAACGTACCAAAAGTCACAGAGTAAAGCAAGTTACAGAACTAGAATTCAAACCCAGACATCCAGACAGTTGGCATTCAACATATTAATGGTATAACTGATTAATACCTTTTGTGTAAGAAAGTGGGCAGATGTACTTACAAAATTATTTGTGTTAAAAAGAAGTACGGCATAAGGACATAAGATTCAGTTAGCCAGAAAACCTACATATGTGGATACACATTTTCTAATCAATGAAACGTTGCTGTTTCTCCCCATTCACTCACTAATTTTTACTTCTAAGTTAAAACACAATTCATATTGAATAAAATTAAATGAGATTTTCAGCAAAATGTACTTACACAACCCAGTATTTTTCTTTCCAAACACTTTAAATTCCTTTAAAAATTTCCAGAAACAGGATTACAGTTCTCTCAAGGGTTTTTAATAAAGTCTAAGTAGATGTTCTGGTATTAGCTTGTAAAATGCTGAGTCAAACACTAAAGGTAATTTAGTCTTCAGAACTTTTAAAAGAGTTATACAGTTAAGTCACCTCAGGGCCACATCCTATCTGCTAGTTCTATCTTATTACAGGCTTTTAAAAGAAAATAACAGTGGCATTTTCTTTTTGCAGCCATATTCTGAAACTGGTAATAACAAAAGGATACCTGTGTTTGTGCAGTTGAGTTCTTCAAGCTTTTCGAAGTATACCCACCAGACAGGCCAAAGCTCTCTGTGCAATGGTATGTTTGTTCCAAGTTAAGACAAGGTGACACTTAAGTGTAAGTAGTTGAATCATCTTGTTGGAGTTGATTAGCTTCAAACTTTGTTGTGCTGAATAGGTAAATATTCCTAGGATGCCATTTGCCCAGAGTTTCCTGCAATATATTCTGACAATTTTGCAGCCCATTGCCTGAGGTCTAGTCTAAATGTCTTAAGAGTGGTGCTGAAAAGAATTTTCCTTACAGAGAACATAACCTGAGCTCAGTACTTGCTACCAATTCCCAGGCACTGCTAGGAAGATGTTAAGCCATGTTTTACTGGGGGAATCAGCAAAGTCAGATGCGCAGGAGTCACACATAAAGGTGTGTCTTACTTCAACTGGGCTCAAGATCCAACTGAAAGAAGTATCTACAGCCAAAGAAATATAATGGAACCTACCCTTTAAAATAAAGGACAACAGACATCTGATACCTGACGAGGAAGGGAGATGGCCATAAATAACATAATTTATTATTAGTGCTTGAATATTTTTGAGCTCATGAACTGAGTTCACCTGGTTATCAGAAAGACCTTACGAAGTTTGGATTTGCTGTCATCATTGTCCCTTATGTTGAGATCAAGGTAAGACATCATTATATACATATTGTAGATGTAACTGGGTATCAGAACCGTGTGTCCTTGACACTTTTGGGGTTTAGATAACTTACCTGCAAATACCTGGACTAGTTTGGTGGATTAATTTTTTTTCTTAGCATCAGAAGTCTTTTTAAAAATGGAATACTAGGGGCACCTGGGTGGCTCAGATGGTTAAGTGTCTGCCTTCGGCTCAGGTCATGATCCCAGGGTCCTGGGATCAAGCCCCACATCGGGCTCCCTGCTCAGCTTCTCCCTCTCCCTCTACCTGCTGCTTCCCTTGCTTGTACACTCTCTCTCTCTGTCAAAAATAAATAAAATCTTTAAAAAAATAAAATAAAAAATAAAAATGGAATACTATGTGGAAGCACCAGAAAAAATAAAATTGGTTACATTAGAGCTGGTCTGATTGAGACAGAGTAGAGATTGGAACTCATCCTACCTAAACACCATGGAAGCCTCCCAAGAAATACGTGGCATAGAGGAAAACCACTAGACTGGATAATCTCAAAGGTTTATGATCCTGTCCCTTTAACTGATGTCTAACATACTGATCTGCTGTGATTTCAGAACCAAACTTGTGCACAGGAAAAAAAAAACAAGTTTGCCACATCTAACTCATATACTAAAATAAGCAGACATTTCAGTTGCCACTTTGGGGGCACCATAATTCTGGGACTGAATCATCTTTGTGGACCATGACCTTGGTTAATAAATTTTAAGTCTTTTTTTTTTTTTTTTTCTAATTTAAGAGGCCACATGATTTTTTTTGTTAAGCGACATCAGGACATACTACTAAAATTAGAAATATCAAAGCACTCAGGTTTCGATTCTCAGAAACTTTGATTAAAAAAAAAAAAAGAGAGATGCTTTTACTGATCACTTGTGAAAGAATCTAGGGAAAAGGGCAGATCTCTGAACTGGAAAGGCAAATTTTAGGACCTAATGGAAAGGAAAAGTTGTGCAATGATACTAATTCGATAGATTTTTTTAATTGGATGGATTTTAATCCTTATTTGATGCTTATTAGAATCACCTGGGACTCTTTTAAAACATATATGCCCTCAAGCTCCACCCCAGCAAATTAAATCTAAGTCTACAGGGGTGTCCTAAGACATAGGTGTTTTGTTTACATAACTTTTAACTTTAGAATAGTTGCACATTTACATAAGGTAATTTTAAAACAAATTTCAAAGATAATTTAGAATCTCCCTATACCCCACACCTACTTTCCCCCGTTATTATCTTAATAATGAATATATTTCCACTATCCCCTATTATAATATTATGAAATATTATCATATTATGTTAACACTAATATGATACATTTGTTATAATTAGTATAACAAAAGTGATGCATGGTTATTAATTAAAGCCCATACCTGAATCACATTTTCCTAAATTTTACCCAAAGTCCTTTTTTCTGTTCCAGAATCCCATCCAGGAAACATTACATTCAGTCATCATGTCTCTCCTTAGGCTTCTCTTGGCTATGACAGTTTCTGAGACTTTCCTAGTTTTTGATGACTTTGACAGTTTTGAGGAATACTGATCAGATATTTTTTAGAATGTCTCACAATTGAGATTTGCCTGATTTTTGTTTTTCAAGAATGAACTGAAGTTATAGGCTTTTGAGAGAAAAACCACAGAGGTAAAGTGCCATTCTCACCATATCACATCAAGAGTACATGTCACCAACATGACATTACTGTTGACACTGACCTTGATCATTTGGCTGAAATAGCTGTTTATCAGGTTTCTCACTGTAAAAGTACAACTTCTTCAACTTTTGTTACCACACTCTTCAGAAGGAAATCATTATGTGCAGTACACACTTACAGAGAAGGTATTTATGTTCCACCTCCTGGAAGTGGAATATACATAAATTATTTGGAATTCTTCTGCTCAGCAATTTGTCTGATTTTACTTATGTATGTATTTATTTATTCATTTAGTCATGTAGTCATTTAATTATTTATATTAGTATGTACTGATGGACATTTATACTTTGGGTTATACTTCAATATTATGTTATTTATTTTGCTGTTCTAATTGCTGCAAGATAGGCTATCGAGAGCTCTTTCATTTGGTTCCTCTGTCCCCTTTACATATCCCTATCGTTTTGTTTTTTGAGCTCCAGACTCATCCGCATATTCCCTGCCCCAGCCTTGCAGTCAACCATTTCTCCAAGAAGCCCTGGTTCCTTTTATTGGAGCATGGTATTAGAAACCAACATCTGGGAGTACGGTGTGTCCATTGCTTCTGAGGTGTTGTTGCTTCTAGGACCTCTCAGAAAACAGAGCTAGAATTTACACGTGTGCATTACTAACCCGTAAGTATGCATATACCTATAGTAAACTAAACATGAATTCATGCCGATTTCTCTAGCTCTAACTCATTACCCCATGGATCACTCCAGCCTTCTCCCTTTGCTTATCTAAAACCTTCCCTCCAGTATTGAGAAACTTGGCTCCAGTCATTCACCATCTATTTACTTAACGGTTCAATTCCACTATATATGTATAGCAGTTTCAGGATTATTAACCTGTGCCTCTGTAGAAACTAACTTTACCAACTAGGGTGGAGTATTTCTATACAGTTTGTATAGCCTTTAGTCCTTAGTCTCTACTCAATTCCAAAGTTACTTAGTGCAGCACCCTTTCCCTCCTCCTTATTCAGTAAGGTTATGTATTCATTATACAGTTAGATTCTTTGTTTATAGTCAACATTCCATCTTGGGATTCTCCGATCTCTTAATTGGTGTTTTAAGTTTGCATACAGTAGGGTTCAGAGTTTGAGCTGTAAAATTTTGTAAGTTTTGACAAATGCACAGTGTCAAGTATCCACCACTAAAATTAAGAATATTTCTACCACTTTAAAAAATAGAATGAATGTTTTTTTTTAAAGCTCGCCAGGGGATTCTAGTGTGCATCCAGAATTAAGAACCTGGTGTCAAATCAGGTTCTGGTGTATCCAAGAACTTAGTTTTAGTGTTTTGGATTTTTTGTTTTTTTCTGTTTGTTTAGTTAGGTTTTTTTTTAGCTCAAAATCTAGAAGAATGCTACATTTCTTACTTAGTGACCTTGCCAAATTAGCTAACTGCTCTGTCCAGATGAAGTATCCCCTCATAGAACATTTCAACACCTGCTTTAGAGTGGTTTGAGGACTTAAATGGATTATTAAAGGTAAAGTACAATGACAAAGTTGAAAAGGAGTTGGTATTTAGTAAATGTCAGCCATTATTACATTGTTTTCATTATCACCTCTTTTAGTCAGAAGTTACTCCTATCGTTTGTCAATGATGTCCTTATGGCTTCTTAACATGCCTTACAAAGACAGACAAATAGAGGTAAGTCTTCTGTTTTTGCTTTTTAATTTTTATGCATTCTAGATTAGACATTAAATAGGTTGCTGCCCCCAGAATCACTTGGGGTGATAGAAAACTTCTGACGCCTCATTTGTGGCCAGAGTCACTACATGAGAATCTCTGATAGTGGTGGTGGGGAGAGAAACTGTCTTCAGTACTTTTAATGATCCCCAGGTGATTTCAATGTTCAGCCAAGTTGGAGAACCACTATGCAGAGTGGGAAGGTTCCTCCTCTACTCCAAATCCTTCATATTTCTCTGACTCAAGTTTGAGAAAATAATTTAAGATGTTACAATATGACCAAAAAGAATAGCCTAGCTAAATGTGCACATGAGTCACAGAAAACAAGTATTATGGTTGTGATAAGTAACTTTCCCTGACTATAAACACGTTTCCAAATCCAATTCTCAGTACTGTGTTTCATTCCAATTGCTCATGTAGTTAAGATGAGTACAACTTAAGTATCTGTCCTATAGGTTCTTCCAGATCAAATGACTGACTAACCATGTCACCGTTTCCTATTCCAGATGGAGACTATCCACCCTCTTGATACGTGTGTTTATGCCTCAACAATTACTATTCCAGTGTTTCATTTAATCCTGATCATTTCATTTGCCTGGTGATACAAATATATATTTTTTCTATCCTCTCAATTTCTCTCTCTCTCTCTCCTCCCCATTTCCTTCTTTCTCTCCTTCCTTCCTTCACTTCAGCATTTCCCAAGCTATTTTCAAATAACTTACTTTAATGTGAGATGTGAAGAGATTTTGAAAAACAGTACTGCCTTGGTCTTTTAGGAAATACTACATCCTCCCTCCAACATCTGTAAAAACATGTTAGCTTATTAAAAACAATTATGATATTCTCCAACTATGTAATTCTATTTATATTAAATTATCCATACAAATGATTAAAAAACATTTTGAAGTGTGATGGGAGAGGGAGGCAGAGTTTTTATAAAAAATTCTGGTACAGAACAGGAAATAATTATATAATTATTATATAATTATATAAGACACACAAAATAAATATCTTACACACTTCTCCTTCACCATATGGTACAGTAGGTCAGTGTCACTTACAATGTGAAGGCCATTATCCGCACTCAAAATCCTATTCCGACCTACTTCATAAAGTTTTAGAATCACTTTATAATTAGATAGTTTTAAATGTTCATATTCAAAATTCAGTAAACATTGACCACTTTTCAGGTATTTATATATAAGTCATTTCATTAGTACCTTACATTAACTCTGTAAGAAATTATCCTCATATAAGGAAAGGGGAGGGAAGACTCAGAAAATGTAAAATATTAGTCTGCATTAGGGTTCTTGACATTGACACTACCTGTATTTTTGGCCAGATAATTCTTTGCTGTGTGGGGGCTCACCTGTGCTTTGTAAGATGTTTAGCAGTACCCATGACCTCTAAATACTATATCCCAGCAGCATATCTTTCCCTCAAGCTGTGAAAACCAAAATATCTACATACATTGCCAAATGTCCTCTATGAGACAAAAATGTCCTGTTAGCTGAGAACTACTGGTTGAAACCCACACAGCAAATAAAATGCCAAAAGTCAGTGTTTTCAGTTTTCTGTCTAGACACTTAGATGTTTCTCAAAGATAATGCCTTTATGGTTCAAGACCTATCATGTATCATTAATTGCTAAGCCCTTCCTAAAAAGTCATCATCTTCATCACAAGATATATTATCTCTTATTGGTGAAACCAGCTAGTACAAATGACTTGGCATTTAGGTATAACTTGGCATGGGCCATGGAAACAGACAGGAGCCACTGGCTCTTGCCTTGCAAATGTGCAGCATTGGTATAAACTAAAATGTCCAAATGAATCCCCATCACCAGTAAAACAGATGGTGGGCCTGTAATTTCATCTCTGGATATACAGCACAACATTATAATTGGAGCTCCACAGTGTAATAACCTCCCAGAGTATGTGGCATTTTCCAAACTGGCATCAAGTTTCTTTATCATTATTAAATCCTTCTAACACAATGATGACAATTAGATTTTTCTTTATCTTTCTGGCATTTTTAAAAAAAAATCTTCTAAATGTTAGCCAGTTCTTCTTTCTCTCAATTGTGGGATTTCTCTTGGTTGTAACTGCATTACAAGTCAATTTCCCTAATTTCCTTATCACCTGCATCACCTTTGTTTTTTTTTTGGTAAAGTTCCCATTTTCTTTTGTGGAGACAAAATTCCCATATTCATTTATTTTTTTCCTGCTCATAGGTACTTACTCCATCAATAAATTACCTCTTTCCTGCCTCTGACAAAGCTGAATGCCCAATTACTACCTTCCCTCATCAGGTAATAACCCATCTTAATATCTGTATCTATAGGTAGATGGATGATAGATAGATAGATGATAGATAGATCGATAACTATTCTTAAAATAATTTTTTAAAAAAGAATTCTGAGCTGACATTTCCTTCCATGTAGTTTTCCTAGATAAAAATTTTAATTGAGTAGAAATATCTTGTTGAGTCTCTTTTGAAACAGAATTTCAGAAGGCACCAAAGTTAAGGCCAAAACTTCTAAGTCGACTATGATGTATTTTGCCCCAAGGCTGCATTGTGCCAAGTCCAAGATATGAAAAGTAAAGAAAACACCCTTCAGTTCTCTGACTCTTAGCAGTTTCCAGGAAGGCCTGGACTGTTCTGCAGCCCTAGAGCCAAATTGCCTAAGCATGAAAGAGTCCCACTTGGCATAACAGGAAGGTCTGCTTTTTTCAAATTCTTTGCATATTTTCAGAGGGACCACAGATTCTTTTCTTTTTAACTAACCTCCAGTTAGTTAACATAAAATGTAATATTAGTTTTAGGTGTACAATATAGTGATTCCACAGTTCCATATAACATCCGGTGCTCATCACAAGGGTACTTCTTAATCCCCATCACCTATTTGACCCATCCCCTCACCCATCTCCCTCCTGGTAACCATCAGAACAAACTTGTTCTCTATTGTTAAAGAGTCTATTTCTTGGTTTGCCTCTCTCTTTCTCTCTCTTTTTTTTTCCTTTGCTCAAAAACCTTCAAAATTGGAGAAGGTATCAATAGTTAACTAACTCCCAGCTAGACATAAGAAGGTGATCTTTTATCAAATATTACTTGAAACGTTTAGAAAGTCAGCCATACCTTGCTTCTCCCTCCTCTAAATTTTAAAAACCTTCCCCTGTTACCACTGATGTTCTTTAAGATTCCTTGCTTCTTTTTTTTTTTTTTTTTTTTAGATTTTATTTATTTGACAGAGAGAGACAGTGAGAGAGGGAACACAAGCAGGGAGAGTGGGAGAGGGAGAAGCAGGCTTCCCACGGAGCAGGGAGCCTGATGCAGGACTCGATCCCAGGACCCTGGGATCATGACCTTAGCTGAAGGCAGACACTTAACTACTGAGCCACCCAGGCTCCCCGAAAGTGATACAGTTCTTAATGAGACTTTGAGCCACTAGATCAAGCCTTCTCTGAAGCTTGACTTATATTCAGACCATTAATTTACAGAGACAATTCCCTTTTTGCTTGAGTTTAAGTCATGTATTCTGTTGCTTGCAGCAGAAAGAGTCCTGATACAGATGATCTAACTGATATAACCTCTAAAGTCCCTTTCAACTCTAAAGTTCTGAGCCTCTGTTTATTTGTCTCCTGAGCATTATTCAGAATTAAAAGCAAAATAAATTCAGAAGGGCTGCCAAAGACAGAGCAAGAGTACTCCAGAGAGATATGGCTGAGGTGAGGAACCTTGGCAGAAAGCCTCTCCAAAGGCACATTCATCTGAGGAAAACTGATTTATGTTAGGCTCATGTCTGCAGTATTTTATAACCATAATAGCCAGTAAATAAAAAGAAATTGTTCCTGTCAGCTTACCACCTCTCTTATCATGAATGGAAGAAGCAGAAGTGCCCAATCTTCTAAAAATTACATAAAGGCCAACCAAGGCTCTGAATGCACCTTCTCCAAGCTGGGAGAGGATTTTATATTTTCAAAGTAGGATGTAGCATCATGTTAACATCACATAACAGATTCAGTAATGATCATTACTTTTAATAAGCTTAAAAGTACACTTCACTTGTACTTCACAGTGATGTTTAAATTTTAGATATAAAGATACTAAAATGTATTCCTTGCTTGACTGAGTTGTATCATGTAGCTGGGGGGCAGGAAATATCTTTCTGAGTGCCTGGATACTAATGACACCGTAGTACAAAGCTTCCTAAACTGCTATTAAAGACAAAACTATTTATTAACTGGAGGTATCTCTTTTCCTCATTTTAAATGCAGATTTTTATTTTATTTTTATTGATTTATACTGACACAATTTATCTTCAAGTCTCTTCATTACTTCATTGCTATGCATTCAATTTATATTTTTTGAATTAAGTGAAACTGAATTCTGGTTACTAAATTATTTTTTTAGTTCACAAAGAAATATCTTAGAACCCTGAAGGATGAACACATTGGGATAGTGAAATGTGTCACCAATGAATGCAGTACTTAAAAAGAGTAAATTCTGAAGCCTATTTCCAAATGTTGATTCTACTACTTATGAGCTGCATGACCAAAGACATGTCATTTCATCCCTCTATGCCACATTTCCTTTATTTATAAAACAGGGGTTACAATAATAGTATTACAAAGAGCTTGTTGTGAGAATAAAATGTATTAACTTATATAAATACTTAGAGTAGTACCTGGTACAGCTATTGTTTTTTTGGCTCCTGATATTGATTTTCATTTGAAGTAGTCTTTTATAAAGTTACTTCAGTTAAGTAAAATATAATTATTGTGAGAAAAATGTTAAAAGGACTCTCATACAGCAGTATGTAGGAATGAAAAAATGTCAAGTGCTATCTTGTTCAAAAAGAAAATAAAAGAAAGAATGAAGGGTAAGCAGAATCTGAAGAGCAACTATTAAAGAATCATATGGATGTGAAGGTATGTATTTTATGATTCAGGATGTAAAACACATTCCACGCATGAAAAACAAAAAGTAATTCAAATCTAGGCTCTATATTACAGAGAAACTTCGGAATACCTCACGGATCATAAAAACAATCAGAGAAAATAAGAGTTGAATTTCAAAGGCAAGAAAACTAAACTCATCTTGAGATTATTTTGTACATCTACCCCAGACACTCTGTAAATTGGCAACATCTACTGGATGGTATAGTAGCAAGAAAATGAAGAGAGTGATTCAGAAAATAGTTCAGATGAAATATCAGGGTTTGGTGGCCCATTACCTAAAGAGAGTAAAGAGAGAAATAAGAAGGCACCAAAAACGACCGCCAAGTTTTGAGCAAACATACTAAGGAAGCTCTTCTTTCTAAGACAAGAGCAGAACCTGCATGAGATTGGAAAGATCACGAGTTCTTTTTTTTTTTTAAAGATCTTATTTATTTATTTATTTATTTATTTATTTATTTATTTGAGAGAGGGACTGAGCCCACAAGTGGAGAGGAGCAGAGGGAGAGGGAAAAAGAATCTGAATTACACTCCACACTGAGTGCAGGGCCCAATGTGGGGCTCAATCCGATGACCACGAGATCATGACCTGAACTGAAATGAAGAATCAGACGCTTAACTGACTGTGCTACCCAGGTGTCCCTGGAAGATCATGAGTTCTTAAATGAACTCAAGAAGGTGAGGAAATCTGTAAAACATCAAGCATTTTTGCCTAATAAGAAGTTGGAGTCTGAAGCTAAGTTGAGAAATCAAAACTTTAGAAAAGAGTTAGTAGTTATCAAAATAAAGTTGATAAATTAAACTGTGGGATGAAGTGACCAAGAACACCCAGCAGAGAAGGGGACCAAGAAGAAAACCTTGGGATAAGCCTAAAAACAAAATA